AGTCCGGGCTCTTCCACGACGCCGTCAGTGGGGTGGTCCATCTTGGTGTTTCTCTTGCAAAGTTTGACTCTTCTGGCCGCGTAACCTTTATGAGACCATATTCTCGGAACAACCACGGAGCAACGCGGGAATGTACCCGTCCGTCTGTATATTGCACAACATGATACGTTTGTTGATATGAAGAGAGTCTTCCTACATTGCAAAGTACTTCACCAGAAAATCATTGCAGTGACACGAAACCCGCGTTACATCGGGATCAACACAGTCTGCAGTGGCAGGACCACCGCGTGTACAACGCGTTTTCTTGGTCCGTCCGTTTGTCGAGTCACGTGGCGCGGCTTATGTCAGCCAGATACGCACTAGCCTTTCATCTAGGTTGTGAAAGGCATGACGACAAAAAGATATCGGGTAGGTTGCTAGTGAAGTCGACTTGGAGCCGATGAGGCTTGTAGTTCATCTCACACACTGCACTGTCATTCCAATGTTCCTTCTTCAACCTAATGTACGGGTACCTGATCGCCAATGAGTGGTCTAGTTTGCCACCGGAAATCTTCCGAGGGACGAATCTGACACAGACATCGTGAATGCTAATACGCTCCATCACAAAAATGTCTCTTCGCAGGTCTGGCAGAGTTGCTGCGGTGCTGGCGTCTCCAGCAACGGAGGGCTCCGTCAATGCAACTAATGGCACCAAGAAGCGCTCAGCTGGTACTGAGGCTTCCCAAAATAAGGCTAAAAAGCCCAAGACCGCAAATGTTGCGGATAAAGTCGACGGCGAAACCAAGGAGACAAAGTTCAAACTCCCAAGTACGCCTGTGAAGAGTTCGAAAAGAACCTCAGCAACTGCATCCAAGGTGCCACCACTCACCCCAACACCGAGCCTTGTCGCCATCATTCGAGCTCCATATAGTTCAGGAGACATTGACGATGCGACGCCGCCACCCGATCGACCAGTCGAGCCCCATGTCACTAATGCTACGTTGGTAACACCAAATGGCACGCAGAGAGTGGCCTACTCTGATGACCTACCTGACTCGAGTCCATCGAAGACGGGACTCCCTCGACCAACAGCCACGACCAATACACTCTTAGACCAGGCATGCTCTCATCTCATCAGTGTCGACGGGCGAATGAAAGCAATAATAGAGAAATTCCCATGCCACATATTCTCACCGAAAGGCCTCGCGGAACAAATCGATCCTTTTCGGTCTTTGTCTTCAGGCATTATGGGCCAACAAGTATCTGGTGCTGCTGCAAAAGCTATCAAGAACAAGTTCATAGCGCTCTTCAACGAAGAAGGCACCGAAATTCCTAAGTACCCGACCCCGGCGCAGGTCGCCGCCACGGATATACCACGGTTGCGACTTGCAGGCTTATCTCAGAGAAAGGCCGAGTACATTCAAGGTCTAGCTGAGAAGTTCACGACCGGAGAACTGACGACAGACATGCTCATGAAGGCTACAGACGAGGAGGTCATGGAGAAATTGATCGCCGTTCGGGGACTGGGAAAATGGAGTGTGGAGATGTTTGCATGCTTTGGACTGAAGAGGCTCGATATCCTCTCTACTGGTGATCTCGGGGTCCAAAGAGGTATGGCCTCATTTTTCGGCAAAGACGTTAAGAAGCTCAAAGCAAAGGGCGGCGGCAAGTGGAAGTACATGTCCGAGCAGGAAATGCTGGACAGATCAGCGCCCTTTGCGCCGTATCGCAGTTTGTTCATGTGGTATATGTGGAGAGTGGAAGACATTGATATCTCGGTCATGCAAAGCTCAATGTAATTCCTCTGCGAGTTAATAAGGCCTTTATTGTATCTGTACATAATTTCGAGGCCGCCAGCAATTGCTGAAACCCAGCTTCAAATTTAATGCATTGAATCATCCGTCAACTCCACCCCACTTTATGCTCTCACTTTTTCCGCTCGACAGTGACAGAGTCGAGATCAGCACGCTCCTTCAATTCGGCCTCGATTTGTCGGATGATGGGGCTAAGGTATTCTTTGTCCTAGATATCAATCAGCAACTGCTTGTTCGGTGTAACCGCTTCATTGAGCTCTTCCTTACTTCTTCGGGTTTGGTCCGTTCCGCTTGAGGTAGTAGTTGATGGGCTAGGGAGCACTTTCGCAAGCTGTTAGTTGCATTGTCCAGCATCCCAGAGAGCTCTGCGCCGTACCTGGAAAGCTCTTCTCAGTCTGAAAACGCGGTCGTATGCTTCTTTGGGTGGCAATCTCTTGAGAGCAAGCTGCACAATATCATTCTCCTCAGGGATCAAATCGTCGGCTTTGAGACCTGTTGCGTGGTCAATTTCTCGACTCCATACAAAGAGCTTTCATGATGTCGTACCCAATTGTCTGTATCCGGCAGCTTCGGCGTACCAATTCGCAAGGGGCATCATCCATCTCTTAAGCCATGGTCGCTTGAGAATATACGGGGCCATCGATGGTGCAGACATCTTGGCGGAATGTGTTTTGTTGTCTGGCCTAAAGTGCCGGGTTGCTAAAGCGCGTGGTTCGAAGGTCAGTCGAAGGTTGATTGACTGCACCTTGAAGCTCTCATCGCAGTCGAATGAAGTTTCCGGGGCCCTTGGCAGGTCTGTGGAAAAGGATCGCAGTTGATTGGTCTAGACAGCTCAAGGGCAAACCTGACAAACTCCTTACATAAGTGGCCTTGAGGACATGTGACCTCTTCCAAAAATTGGCAGTTGTGCACGTTGTTCTCCGGAGACAGCTGCCCGTCGTCAAATCTTCCTTCCAAGGAAGCTTGACCGACTGCACTTATTCACCCACTTTCATCATATCCCAACACCACGGCTTCCTCTACTATTCCTCAGCTTAATGCACTCGCAAACGCTTCATTCGAACCTGCTCATTTCCGCTCCTTAGTTTTCTTTGCTATTTTCCTGTATCCGAAACCTCCCATGGCCTTTGTCAACCGCTGACAGGGCACTGGGACGGCTTCGGCCAGACCCCGCAGTTTCCACGACCACCAAACGGCGGTGCAACGGAGACAACATTCCCCAGCGCACTCCGTTTGTACCACCTCGAATCCAACCTCCCATCACCTCACTATGAGACGTCAAGAGAATTGACATCCATCGTTTGAGAGTGTCTGCAAAGAATGCCCTTTGAAAGAGACCCCGAGCAGACACCAACTATCTTGGCTTCCCAATATGCTATCCCGACTGACGACCCAACCTCCGCCAACAATTACACCACAATGCCTTCGAGTTCTTCGAGTCCTCCAAGAGATTCCTTTACCTCTCGGATGCAGATATACTCGACACAGGTTCCGAAGGCGTGGGTCAGCCCAATATGCGGTGCAGGAGCGGGCCTCGCTTCTGGTATCGTGACTTGCCCACTTGATGTGATCAAGACGAAACTGCAAGCACAGGGAGGTTTCGCAAAGAGAAATGCAAGCCCACAGCATCCGACCACGTCACACGTATATAAAGGTATGATTGGGACCACTCGCGTCATTTGGCGGGAAGAAGGCATACGGGGCATGTACAGGGGCCTGGGTCCTATGTTGCTGGGGTATCTACCAACATGGGCGGTCTATCTGACCGTGTACGAGAATACAAGAGAGTTTTGGTACGATAAATGCGGGAGCTGGTGGCTAGCACGATGCTACTCTTCCTTGACTGCCGGCGCCTGTTCGACGATTCTGACAAATCCAATTTGGGTCATCAAAACTCGCTTCATGACTCAAAGCACTAAAGCCGCTAGCGATGGAATGCGAGCCCCTTATTACTACACGTCGACATTCGACGCCGCAAGGAAGATGTATCAACATGAGGGAATGCGATCGTTCTACTCTGGCCTGACTCCGGCTCTACTTGGCTTGACCCACGTCGCGGTACAGTTCCCGCTATATGAGTATTTCAAGATGAAGTTCACGGGATTCGGTATAGGCGAGCATCCACCCCAAGACAGTAGTGCCAATTGGATTGGCATATCTGGCGCCACATTTTTGAGCAAGGTCTGCGCCAGCACGGCCACATATCCTCATGAAGTCCTTCGCACTCGACTCCAGACCCAGCAACGCAGAACTGGTTTGTCCACCTCAGACGGTTTGTCGGTGAAAGCACAGTACAAAGGCATCGTTCATATGTGCAGAGTCATCCTCAAAGAGGAGGGTTGGCGGGCCTTTTATGCCGGCATAGGCACGAATCTTATCCGGGCGGTTCCGGCCGCCATGACGACAATGCTCACATATGAGTGGTTACAAAGCACAATGGCTCGTTCTCAAGAGAAAGGAGCACAATTAAAGAAGGATGCTCACGGTTCACCTATATGAGCAAGGAATACATCTATGACTGGACATTTGCGTGAAGTTGGAAGGAGCTCTGGCGCAATTGCCCATCGGCCGACACGGACAGGTTCCCACGCAGATTTTCAAGCGTGCTATGTTTGTGTTCGTAGGGCAGATCTACAGGCTTCACCGACGGACATAGCAACCTAATATGCACCTACCTACCTTATTAGCGCACGCGAGACAAGACACAATAGCAGTATTTGGTCAACGGCCACCCCGTCTGCAAGGCAGACTGGAACTATTGGAAGAACCACGGCGGGCAGATGCGTAGTGAGGCACTTTATACCAGGGGTAAGGTTGCGAGAGCAATCCACGATCCGGAGGTGTTCGTATGCTGCGCCAACGGCCACTGTGGTAAGGTGCTACGGCTAGGTAATCACTGCAAAACGGTGGACGGTATGCGATTTTGTAACGGCTGTGGTATCTATTACGAAAACCCTCTGCATTATAGGACTATGCGTCCTCCTAAATTGTGCCATCTTGAGAAGAAGCGAAAGAGGTCATGAGTGAAAGTCGGAAAGGCAACTTACTCATATCTGTGTGTGTGTGGATAAAGATGCCTGAAACGACCACAAGTTACCCCTACGTACTCGATTCTCTTTAGCGACACAGCCCAAAGCCGAGAAAAAAAAGAGCAGAAATCAAAATACCAAAAAAGTTTTGGATACAAAAAAAGATTGAGCACATGCCTGGCGGTACCCGGAATCGAACCGGGATCGGATCGGAGCTGGATTTGGAAAAACCACAACGATACATGCTATCCATTACACCATACCACCCCTTCAGGGTGAGATCTTTGAAGGATAAAATCCAACGGAAATATTGCTCAAATTTCAGAGACTTAATCTTATGAATCATGATCCCACCATCGCAGTGGGGGGCTTTCCGAGGTATTTTTGATTAGTGTAACGAAAAACCTTGTTCCTGACGATTATGCCGAGTCCACACGGAGGCGTGCACAAAAGAAGTTGACTCACACACTACCTGAAATGACGGAGGTCTTCTTTGGCAAACATGTGATCCAGCGCGGCTTGCCTTAAAAGTGCACTAGTATGACGTACTTCATTATTATTGGTGGTCGAGGTGAATAGGTGCCGAGTACCTATGGTGCGACTTGGGTACGGTCAATGCATGGTAAAGTCCTGATGATCATTCCAACAGGAATCGTTTGCATATACTATACCAATGCTTGTTTGATCGCCCTTCAGGTCAATAACACCCGCAACCATTCCAAGAACAGTACCTGGGTCCGTGGCGAGTAGCCGAATGCTTGGGTGCAGTCTCTGGCCAGTTGCTGAATTCAATCTATATATGTCGTGCGGATTCTATCGCAACCCACTTGCTACTTGGAACTCATAATTTTGCAATTCTATGCAAGTCTCACGGCACACCTTTGGAAAACACCATGTGGTCCACATTTCAGTCAGTCCGCCTGATGAGCTTCTTCTGAGGCATTGGAACTTGGCAAGCAAGGCCTTGGGGCCAGCAGGAACAGCATCGGAGGCCGCAACGTTGCGGCACTGTCATCATTGACATGGGGCATCTGGGTCTTGTACCCTCCATCACTACGCTGCCCGAGCTTTGCAGAGGACAGGAGGCCAACCGAAAAGTCAGAATGTGGGAGGATCATTCTGTTAGCGCACCTCCCTTCGACTGGGGGAGGCGTGGATCAAGGTCCGAGTGTGATGCCCCTCACCTAGTGTACATGGGTCGAGCTGCGCACTGTGTCATCTAGGTACTATAAATTCAGGGCTGTTGTGTGCCCAAACATTGACGAACTCCAACATAACCTCAGAAAGCCTTTGGCCTCTCGTTTGTCTGTACTTATGGTTGTCGATGCAGTAGCGGAACGTTGTGTAGCAACACTGTACGGACTACACTAGTCTGTTGTGTACCACATACCTGACTGGACGTTTTCCAACTTGACATTAGAAAGAGCTTGACCTTCTCCTGAGAGATGCGAGGCTCTTAGGACGAGCACTTCAGCTAGCCACTCCGTCGTTGAAACTCATAACAAAAGGAACAGGGTCATGTAGATAGTGCATGGAAATCCATATTTTGGTGATTTTCATACAAAGCCGGCCACAGTCCACAGCAGGTCCTGGCAATATAGAAAAGACTCATACAACAGCAACGGAAAAAAGTTCATTCTCACATCCAACACAAAGCAATGCCCACGCATACCCATCCCATTCAACGTGCACACTCCGTACTCCATCTTGAAACTGTACATACACGACCCATCAAGAACCAGTCAATCGCATTGCTTTGTGTACACGGAAAAGCGACGTTGATCTAAAGCAAAGCAACAGCTTTTCTAACCACTGCACATGATGCAAGCCTCCTTGTTTTCAATTGAGCCTATCAGAAAAGTTTAGTAACCATGCACGATGAGCGGAAAGTGGTGGACTTACACTGCAACACCTTCTGCGCGTAGATGTCACCCTCGCGCTCCTCCGAGTCGCTATCCTTATCTTCGTCTTGAACCGCCTTGATTTGCGCTCTGTTCTCGAGGCTCTCCTCAACAACAGGTACATCGACCGGGTCAGTCGGCAAAACCTTCGGGCTAGGCTCTTCGCTGCTGGTACCTTCACTCAGACGAGTCCGGGTGAGTTTGTTGACGAGCTGCTTCTCCTCCTGAGGAGGGGGCGTGGAAGTAGGAGTTGGGATGCCGTTCATGGACGTGGCCGCCCCACTGTTACCAAAGTTCGAGGTCTTGGACGCGTACATGGGTCGCACGCTGTGGGCCTGACCGAAGCCGATCGAAGTGCGCTTCTTAGGCGCGCCACGCTCACGAGCAACGTTGGTATCAGCAACCTTGAGTTGTTCCTGGTCGACCGTGAACTGGATAGGCTGGCTGGCGGCCGTGGTTCGCAGGTAGTACATGCCGGTCTTAAGACCCATCTTCCAGCCGGCAAAGTGCATCGAGGTGATCTTGCCCATGGTTGGGTCTTTGAGATGAATGTTGAGAGATTGAGATTGATCGATAAAGGCACCACGGTCAGCAGCCATCTGCAGGACGTTACGCTGGCTGATTTCCCAGACGGTCTTGTACAAAGCCTTGATGTCTGCGGGAATGTTAGGGACGTTCTGGATTGAACCTCCGTCGGCGATGATACGGTTCTTCATGTTGTCGGACCAAAGACCAAGATCGACCAAGTCCTTCAGCAACCATGGGTTGACGACTTGGAATTCCCCAGCCAGAACACGTCGTGAGTAGATGTTGGATGTGTATGGCTCGAAGCATTCGTTGTTGCCCAAAATCTGCGATGTTGATGCAGTGGGCATGGGAGCAACGAGGAGAGAGTTGCGAACGCCATGCTTTGCAATTTCAGCCTTCAGCGAGTCCCAATCCCAAAGGTCGGTGGGAGTCACGTTCCACATATCATATTGGAGGATGCCCTGAGAAACTGGGCTACCCTCGTACGTCTGATAGGGTCCTTGCTCCTTTGCAAGCTCACATGAAGCTGTAAGGGCAGCATGGTAAATGGTCTCGAAGATCTGAATGTTGAGTTGGCGGGCTTCGGGAGATTCAAAAGGCAAACGGAGAGCGAGGAAAGCATCAGCCAGACCCTGGACACCCAAACCAATGGGTCTGTGTCGCATGTTGCTGTTCTTCGCCTCAGGAACAGGGTAGTAGTTGACGTCGATGATCTTGTTCAAATTTCGAGTGACGACCTGGGTCACTTCGTGGAGACGACCAAAGTCATACTCGCCGCGAGCCTGGTCGACAAAGCTCGGCAGAGCCAATGATGCAAGGTTGCACACAGCGACCTCATCAGGGGCAGTGTACTCGACGATTTCTGTGCAAAGGTTGGAGCTGCGGATCGTTCCCAGGTTCTTTTGGTTGCTCTTTCTGTTGCACGCATCCTTGTAGAGCATGTACGGGTTGCCAGTCTCGGTCTGTGCCTCGAGAATGGCATACCACAGTTTCTGGGCCTTGATGGTTGAACGACCACGGCCCTCCTTTTCGTAGCGCTCGTATAGAGCCTCGAATTCCTCGCCATAGACATCGGCAAGGCCAGGAGCCTCATGAGGGCAGAAGAGTGTCCAGTCTTGGTTCTTCTCGACACGTTGCATGAACAGATCCGGAGTCCATAGTGCGTAGAACAAGTCACGAGCACGGACCTCCTCTTTTCCGTGGTTCTTTCTCAGGTTAAGGAACTCGAAGACATCTGCGTGCCATGGCTCGAGGTAGATGGCAAAAGCACCGGGTCGCTTGTTGCCACCTTGGTCAACATAGCGGGCAGTGTTGTTGAAGACCCGGAGCATAGGAATGAGGCCATTGGAAGTGCCATTGGTTCCGGCGATATAGGAGCCAGTAGCACGAATGCAGTGAGCATTGAGTCCGATACCGCCGGCAGTCTTGGAGATCATTGCACATGTCTTGAGAGTGTCGTAGATGCCCTCAATGCTATCTTCCTTCATGTCGATCAAGAAGCAGGATGACAACTGAGCTTGTGGTGTTCCGGCGTTGAACAACGTGGGCGACGCATGAGTAAAGCATTTCTGGGACATGAGGTTGTATGTCTGAATGGCCTTCTCAACGTCGTCTCCGTGAATGCCAACAGACACACGCATAAGCATGTGCTGTGGTCGTTCAGCGACTTGCTTGCCGATCTTGAGGAGGTATGATCGTTCCAGCGTCTTGAAGCCGAAGTATTGGTAGTTGAAGTCTCGGTCATAGACAATGGCCGAGTTCAACTCATCGGCATGTTTCATCACACATTCATACGTCTCCTTTGAAATCATAGGGGAAGGCTTATTGTTCTTGGGGTTGACATAGTAGTAAAGATCTGAGATGACGGAGGAGAACTGTTTCTTGGTTTGCTTGTGGAGGTTGGACACGGCAATACGTGCTGCTAGGATGGCATAGTCGGGATGAGTGACTGTCATGTATGCTGCAGTCTCAGCGGCCTGGGTCGGTGTTAGCATTGACAGTAGCAGAGAAGAAGGGTAGCACTGACCAGGTTGTCGAGCTCAATCGTGGTGACGCCTTGATAGACACCTGAAATGACTTTCTGCGTGATAGCTGCTGCATCGACGTGTTCTGGGTCGAGGCCATAACACAGTCTCGAGACACGAGCCGTGATCTTGTCGAACTGAACGCGTTCTTTGCGTCCATCTGCAGAATTTGTCAGTAAATCAATCCATGGGTACACGCCGTCCGCAGGCAGATGGGCTGCCGTTGGAGGGTCGAAGAGTGTCAAGAAAGTCCATACCTCGCTTGAAGACGAACATGATGGTGGTTCAGAGGTTTGTTCCTCACTTGTATTCGAGTAACGACGAGGATGTGGTGGCAAGGAGAAGAAGTAGGGAGTGACAGAAGCAGCAGACCAACACGCTCGCCTTTATGTGATGACAATGAGCATACGGTCGCTGGAGAGACGCAGGCAGCAGGAAGATAATGTTGTCTGGAAGAGAAACAATGCGAAGAAGGGCCCTCATAACATATTAATGCAGGTCAACACGTCGCGCGACCTTGACCCATTAAGTGTCTAGTACGCGAAAAGGCGCGTCTCGTGTGAAATGGGAGAAAAAGTGGAAGCATTCAAAAGTGCCGGTGGTGGTGGCCCTTGCGTCATTCGTTCGCCACTGTCACGTCCCTCAAATCCCACGTCCCAACCTTGAGGCTTCCAGAGACCGGGGGGGATGGGCCCTTGAACTGCTTTCAAGAATGCAATCCAGCCTTCAGTCCACTCTCATAGCAAAAGGCATAATTTGGCAATGCTTCTATCATCGTCTAGAGCTATCAGGAACTCGATCAAGGTGGCTCGAG